GATTTGATGCAATCATATTTTATGAATTTGAAATATGACGGACTATATTGTTCCTGGCCGTTCCTAACTACAAAAATGGTGATTGATAAGGCCTCAATTCCTTTAGCCGATTTTTCAATTCGCCATCTTGTAGCTCTAGAAGTATTAGTATGTAGATTTTTTTTTTTTTTTGAGTTGACAATAAGGAATTTTGCTCATACTTTCATTTGCTCTTTGCAATGGCAGGAACGTGTTGGAGAGATCGCGAAGAACTTCAAATATAGAAAGTATCATGCCGGCAACACTACACTACCTGAACAAATATCATATACACGTAATCTTCCGAATTCCCCTCAGATAAAGATGCTACTTCATTAGGATGAGGATTCGTTTATTATATGGATATCAATTTAATGTAGAATTTGCCTAATATCAATAATAATCGCTATATGCGATCAGGGAACAAAATCGGTTGATCAGCGAAGTAATAAAAAATATATAATTGTTTCTTGAAGTTAAACTTAACTCTGAAACATAGAGGGGGTATTTGGGATAGTGGCGAATATTGTAGCGAAAAAACTTATCGTCTCTATTGTTGTATCAGAATTCAATCCCAATAGTAACAGTAAAAGTATAGATAGTGATTTCGAATATTAATGTCATTGACCAAGATATTCACTAGTATAATCAATTTTTTCGGATATCGGGTATATAATAAAGTATAGTCACACCGGAAAATCAATTATATGCTTGTAGTACACCCCGAAATAGATCATGTAACGGTAACGTCACATTATCAATCTTGATTGGTTGATTGTTGTATATATACACTTACCGATTATCGACGATTTGCATGTTCTATGCTGATCTCTGATTCGTCGATTTAAAACGCATGACATCGCTCCCATGTGATTCGTACATACTGTAAACATATCAATCGTAATTATTTTTTCTTGGCAAAGCAAACGGCGTGACTTTTTTAACTTTTTGGTCACGCACTCATTATTTTTATTTATTCAAACTTTTGAACATATCTATATATTGTATAAAACAATGGGAAACACAAAATCTGAACTAGATTTGTTAAAAGAAGAGAATACCAGGCTTTTGGCTAGGATCGCAGAATTGGAACAGATCGCGAAAGAAAAAAATGAGCTTGAAGTTAGAATTGTGGAATTAGAACGATCCGCAAAAGAAAACATTGAGCTGAGATCCAGAGTTATGAAATTGGAACAAATGGTATCACAAAATGACTCACGGGATGGGGATACTATCGTATCTAAAGAAAAGAGTAACTTTATTATTTCTCGAAGTGAGGTTGTTCTCACATCTAAATCAGATGATACCGGAGAAACCAAACAGGTAAATACATTCGTCCCAAAAGAACAATCTTCGGTTAATATCGATACTTCCTGTGGAACGAATTCTGAGGGTAACCCTAAACAAGACTCAGGACATGATAATACTTCCACACCTGATATATCTGTCAATGGTTCAAATTCTGATGAACATCAAGAAGAAACTTTGTCTCAAGTCTCCAATTCATCTTCGACAGAATTATCCATATGCGTAAAGCCTAAATCATTAGAAGATAAGGAAATGGATAATTTTCTGGTTGAAAGACATAATGAACAGGTTCGTATCGAAATAATTGAAAGGAATAGAGAGAAAAAGCTTCAACGTGAGTCACCTACTGAAAATTCTCCAAAAGAGGACACTTACATGTCTAATAACAGAGTTAGTGCTAAAGCACATATTAAATCTAGTATATCTCTCGAGCAGAAAAAAGAACAAGGTTTATATCAACATCTATTAAAGATCAGAGCCAAGCCACCGAAATTTCAGCGAACAATTCGCCAAAAATGTTCGCCAAAAATCATGTGACCAAAAATTTAATTCAGGAAAGTAGTGGGAAAGATGATGTTATTTTGTTTTCTGCATCAAAAAGTAAAGTACTACTAAATTTAACACGTTTGTACAAGAAAGCTTGTGATGCGGAAAAGCAAGCGATTAAAGTTAATCAAGATGAAATTACATGTTGGTATTATTATATTATAGAATTCGATAACCAGGTTAAAAATCTTATGAAATCTGATCATATTGGCGAGAAAAAGGCGAAAGGACAAATTTATGATTTTATTATTGCACAACTAAATACCAAGCGTAAAACGTTACAAAAGCAAAACCAAAAGGCTAGAAAGGTTTATAATTTATTCGAAAAAATAGGGATAGATAAGATTCAGCATATCAAAACCTTTAGTGCAGATGCTATTTCAAGATTTACTAATTCTCAGATTCAAACGATTATTGATCATTTCGCTAAAAAGCCTGACATAGAATATACCGATGACCAGGACGATTCAGATGACTTACCCGAAACAGAGGTAAGTATACATACTGAAGAGACAAAGTCTCGAGTCTCCGACTCATCGATTCCTTTAGACCCA